TGAGACCTTGTCTCTCTCCCCTGCCTCCCCGCCACCCCTCTAAAAAAGGATTCCCACCTATGTGGTGAGGCTAAGAGAGGTTTGGGCTAAAAGTGAGAAGAAGGAGATCAAATCTCCCTTTTTTTCCTGCTGTTCAAGCAGGTTGTAAACTAGCCTGTTAGCATGTAGGGAATAGTTTGGTAGAGAGGAAGGAGCTTGAACTTTGGAGTTCCAGTCCTAGCTCTGCCACTTAGTAGCCATTTGACCTTAGGCAGGTTATGTCATTCATTCTTTCTATTTTTTCCTCCTTTTGCACACTTCTCTGTTGTGAATTATTTCCTTTCCTAAGCCTGAGTGTAATTACATCCCATGAGGTTGTTACAATTGGTAATTATATATAGTATATGAAAAGTAGCTACTAAGGTGGTTATTATTATCAGATACATTATAGGTTAAATAATGCCTATTTATATTTAGACCCTATAATAAAGTGGACTCTGTTATATAGTTATATGCTATTTTGTAGCTTAAAAATATTTTAAAATACATTATCTCATTTATTAATAATTCTCACACTAACTCTTAGAGCTAACTCTTGGCGTCCATTAATTAGTGAGGAAACTAAAGCTCTGGGAAATGAAGTAACTTGTCCAAAGTCTCATTACTAGAAAGGGGCAGAACTGGGAGGAAAATCAGGTTTTGTAGTTGCAAATTCAATACCTAAAAAGAAAAAACAAGTTATTATAAGGAAGTGTATAAAAAATCACAGAATCAAGCATCCAAGTGGCTTGGATTTTTCCTTCCAATTGCTAGGTGTACTTGGACAAAAATGTACACATTTCAATGCTACATTCTGTTAGAAAAATTTACATGAAACTGGTTGATAGCCAACATAACATTGCTGATTTAAAGTTACATATCTTATTATTTATGCAAGTGACAAAAAAGATATCATAAGCAAAAATTATGTATAAATGAAAATTCACATTTTAGTTGTTTGTGTACCTAAAGATTTACACCTCGGGAGTGAACACAGCCTTGGGGCATGTACATGGGAATTGGAGTCAAACAGCTCTAGGTTCAAGTACCAGTTTGTGAGCCTTGTGTCTTTGCACTAGTTAGTTACCCGTGTGAGCCTGTTGCTACAATATGGGGTTGTTTCGAGGACCACATGAGCTAAGATATGTTAAATACCTGGCACAGTGCATATGCACAACAAATACTAGTTTCTCTGTCATCATTTAATACATTAGTTTCCATTTCACTGGCAGCCTTTGAGGATGGAAGACATTAAGGTGGTTTTAATCATGTTAAGTAATGTTACATAATAGCTTTACCTCTCCACCTACTTCTGCCTAAATTTCCCTTGAAAGACTACAGGGATGTCTTGAGACTGCATGAACAAAGCAGAAATTTCCTTCTGCTTGAATAAGATTTCTTGCAGCTATTATTTTAAAAAGTGGAAGAAGGCTGTTCCATTTATCTATTACATGGCAAATTATAAAAAAAAAATCGCAAAAATTATTTTGTTTGTATGGGGTCAGAATTCGGAGGGGTCAGTACTCAGAGAGTGCTTGGTTAGGTGATATTTTTGCTCCATGTGGTATTAACTGGGGTCGCTTGGTGGCATTGAACTTGTAGCATAGATGGTCTGGAGTTCAAGAAGGCTTCATTTATATTTCTGCCATCTTGGTGGGAACAGTTGGAAGATGGTCCAGCTGAACCCCTCTCCCACCCAGTGTAGTCTCAGGGCCTCTCTACACGGTTTTTCCAGCAAGGTATATGAACTTTTTACATGGATCTAAGAGGCAGTGAGTGGAACTACCTGTCTTGTATAGCCTGGACCCAGAAGTTGGCAAAGCATCACTTCTGCCATATTCATTGGTCACAGCAGTCACAGAATCCTTCTAGATTCAAGAGGGAGGTCTATAGATCCCACCTGTCATGCAATGAGTGGCAGATAATTTTCAGTCACCTTTAATCTGTTATGAAAGCACATGCTTGAAGACACAGGTCAAAGGAGCACAGTGCAGACCTTTATGAAGCACCTTTCTGTGACAGATACTTTGCTAGAATAGCTGATGACCTCAAGATCTGCAGCTGAAGAAGTTTCGATGAACCTTCCCTCTCCATTACTTGGGTGAAAGTGGACCTGAATCCTCCAGTTACTTCCATCATACTTTCATTTCTGCCATCCCTGATCTTGTGGAGTCAAGAGATATAATCTGTTACTCACGTATTACTCAAATCTCTACACAAGTCACCATTTATGGGAAAACTACCCTAGTCAAAACAGGAATAGCCAGCTTGTCTTCCATCTGCAGGACAGGAATGTATTATTTGTCTTTAAAACTTTCCCCAAACTCAGAAGAAAGCGTTGTTACATGCAAAAAATTCAGAAGACAGTCTTCAGTAAACTGCAATTTTGTTAAATTAAGAAAAAAAAGGATGTGAGCTGTTTAGGTAACAGTATTTAGACTTTATAGTTTTCAATAAAATTTAATTTATTAGTTGTTGCAACTAGAGGTACCTCAGATGCTGGGTGTGTTGCTAATCCTTTTTAACAAGTTGTTGGTTTCAGTGGCATTGGAGGGTAGTAAATAGCAGGCAAAGTTAATTATATCTTAGGTTAATTATATGTGTTAACTATAGGTAATTACATTATATTATACTACACTTCAAAACCTGGAGGGTTGGTGTTAATTCATAATAGGGCGTGCCTATTATGCATAACACTAGAGATGCATAGTATTTCTAGTGAATCTTTTTTTTTTTTAAGACAGTCTTGCTCTGTTGCCCAGGCTGGAGTGTGGTGGTGCCATCTCTGTTTACTGCAACCTCCACCTCCCAGGTTCAAGCGATTCTCCTGCCTCAGTCTCCCTAGTCGCTGGGATTACAGGCGTGCACCACCATGCCCGGCTAAGTTTTGTATTTTAGTAGAGTTGGGGTTTCGCCATGTTGGCCAGGGTGGTCTCGAACTCCTGACGTCGGGTGATCCGCCCAGCTCGGCCTCCCAAAGTGCTGGGATTACAGGTGTGAGCCACTGCGCCCAGCCTCTAGTAAATCTTTTTGTTTTGATATGAATAAATAGAAAGCTTATAAAAAATAAAGCATTCAACCACTTCCCTTTCAATAGTCAAAGTTCAAACGCCAGAAAAGCTGAAATAGGTGATACAAAGTCATCCTTTAATATAGGCAGCAGTATATTTTGAGAAAATCCTAAACTCCACTTACTGTCTGTCTGTCTTACAAGTGCACCGAAATATTATTGCCTGTAACTGACATTGCGGTTTTACTGGTCAGGAAAATATGATTTTTTAATTCTAATCTAAAACCTGCTTTAGTACTAACCTGGGAAATTACATGGTTGTCTGTAAGCTAATCAAGAGCCCTTAAACTCCATTACATAAATGATACACTTCCCCTTTGTATTAAGGGACTAATGGCTTCGCTTTTCAACAAAGCTGGATCTTCTGGCACACGCTCAGAAGATAGCCAGTACTTCAGAGATAGATTGCTTTGAGGGCTCTGGAGCCGCTGAGGGGCACAGTAATCCTAATGAGAAAGGAAAAAGAGGACGCCTCTGGAGTTAAAATAAGACAGAATGCATCTGTGGAGAACGGTGACTGAAGACTGGCAGAATTCTCAATATCTCAGGCCACTTATACAGCGCGCAGTTTTCATTTGTATTTTGGAGGTGCTCTAGAAAACTTAGAAATGATTAGAATAAAAAGTATAGATACTTTTAACCAGCCCATGTACAGGAAATTCTGTTGGTGTAGAAACGGTTCTGCTGTTCATTTCTTAATTGCTTCTGTTCCGACTTTGTCAGATGTAGGGCGAGGTGGTGGTGGTGGTGAGTCCTAATTTTTTGTATCTCTATCCAGTCTCGAAGCGTTTGGATTATTTTAAACCTTCATAACATTTGCGGAGAGCTTGGAGTGTTTTGTACATGTAGTGGGGCAGTGCCTGGCCTCCTGTGAGAGACTGATCATCTATAAACAATCCACACAAAACTCACTTGCCAGTGGACCGGGAGGATCGCTGCCATCCTTTCAGCAAAGAGCTAAACGAATAAGCAGAGATCCGGGCCCATCCATCCTCGCGCAGCAGTTTCTAAATTTTTACCTCGGCTTCATGAATGGCTACCAGCTGGCAGACACAACACTTTCATAATATTTGCACACAATTTATTTGGGTCGCTGTCTTTTCTTTCCTTTTTTTTTTTTTTTTTTTTTTTTTTGAGAGAAACGGAGAGTCTCACTCTCTCGCCCAGGCTGGAGCGCAGAGGTGAGATCTCGGCTCACTGCAACCTCCGCCTCCTGGATTCATGCGATTCTTCTACCTCAGCTTCCCAAGTAGTTGGGGCTACAGGCGTGCGCCACTATGCCCAGCTAATTTATTGTGTGTATATATATATATTTTTGTAGAGACGGAGTTTCACTATATGTTGGCCAGGCTGGTCTCGAACTCCTGACCTCAGGTGATTCGCCTGCCTCGGCCTCCCAAAGTACTGGGATTACAGGCGTGAACCACTGTGCCCGACCATTATGTGGGTCGCTTTCTAATTTCTTTCTCCGTTTGTAGCTAGCATTGCCCGAAGGAGATTTCAGAGATCCCCTAGAGAAAGGGACGGGGGATGTCGTTTTCCAGTAATTTCAGGGGGTAAATCTAGCGCCGTTTGCTTAAGTTAAAAGAAAGGCGTGGGGAGCCAGGTGGTGCCCTGGAAGGAGGGCCGCGCAAGACGAGACCATCTCCGGGACAGGGGAGAGCGGGGCTAATGAACGCAGGAGATTCCGCGGAGCCTCCAGCTCCTGAACGTCCACCTTCGGCCCAGCTGGGAGACGTGGTCTCGGGAGGAAAGCCCGGAATCCCGAGCCGGCCAGCCGCGAGCTGCGAATACCGGAGCGCGTGGGCAGGCGAGCGAAGGCAGAGGCGGGCCGGCGTCTGTCCCTTTAAGGGGCCGGTCTCCCGGCGCCGCCGGCCCAGACGCCGGGACGTGCCAGGGCCGCCCCGCCCCGAAGCCGCCCGTTTCCTGCCGAGCCGCGCGACGGCACCTGAGCGACTGCGGCGGCGGCGGCGGCGCCTCGGAGCGGGCGGCCCGGGCTGTAGTGCCGGCGCCGCCGCGTCTTCCCGGTCTCCTTCCCCGCCGCACAGGGTGAGGGAGAGCAGGCCGCACCGGGCCGGGCACCGGCGGCAGGGAGCGCGGGGGGAGGTGGCGCCGGCCGCGGGGTCCTGGGGCAGGCGGGAGGGCCGCGCCGGGCGGGGGGGCGCGGCCGTGGGGTCCGGACGCCGCCCGCTGGGTAGGCCTCGGGCATCCGGTCGCCGCCGCCGGGCTCCTGCTGGGGCCGGGACGCCGCAGGTGGCGGGCTCGGAGGGACCTCCTCGTCCTCGCGGGGCCGCCCCGGGTCCGACCCCGGCTCTGTCGCGGCGCCCGGGGCGCGGCCGAGGGATACCCCCCTTCTCCCCAAGGACTACTCTCCCGAAGGCGAGGTCGACCCAAGAGGGCCCTGGGGTGACCGAGGCACCTATTTTTAGCCAGGCCTGAGGGCCCCGGGAGGGAAGGCGGATTACCGCCTCCTCGGTCGGTGGACGGAGGCAGCGCGTCTCCGGCGGCGTCCCCGGGCCGGAGCTGGGCCACGCTTACGCCATGCTGGAATTCCAGTCTTCGCCGCTGCCTCCGGCGGCCTGGGCGCTCGCCGCCTTCCCCGGCGCCCCTCCCGCTGCCCTTTGCGAGTCCCTAGGTCAGGGCGGGAGGCGGTTGGGCGCGGAAAGCAGCGCTGCGGGGACTTTGGAAAAATCCGTGGACCACCCTCGACACCGGCGAAGTTATTCCTTCCTCTCCCCGAGGGGTGTGTCTTCTTAGCGATTCGGCCTGACCCCTTCAGTTTCCAACAGTGAGACTTTTGGCCTGGGGACCTCGCCGGAAAACTACACGGGAAGTCCAGAGAAGTCGTCTGGCTCTCAGCCATACGCCTGGTGTGGGATGTGCAGCCCCGCACGCTGGCGGTGAAGGCGCTCGGTGCACTAGAAGTGGGCAGCCCCGGACGCGGGCAGCGGCGTCCCAGCCTGGCCCAGCTGCACCTTGACTAGGTTAGGTTAAAAGTAAGCTGTTCGATGTTGGCCTTTCTTTCTTCTGGGAGGAAGGAGGAATCTAAATTCAGAACTGTGTTGTCAGACGAATTCCTTAGCAGCTATTTAAGTTAGTAGTGCTTAAAGAGCTACAGTTGAAGTTAACTGTTAAGTTGTGTGTGTGTGTGTGTGTTTTGAGATGACTTTGTGGAAAGCCTTGAGAAATGTAGACACCCATAGCCAGCCTAGCCGAAGATAAGCATCTTCAGGTGAACTAAACGTTCTGAATTGTATAGGAGTTGACTTAAAGTTAGAATTTCTGCTAAATGAGGTTGCATTTGTTTTCCTTAGCTTACTTACCTAGCAGGCTTATGGCAGCAGTGTCTCCAGTTTGGTCCAGAGCAATTGCTGGTGAGACTGGGGATAATGTTCCCAGGAATAACACTAAATTACTCTTTGAGTGTTTTGGGTAGACATGCCTTGCAGTAGACTTTCATATTTGATGTGTTGCCTGTTAAAAAAGGCTCTTCCCCCCCCCCCCTTTTTCCTTTTGTCTTTATTTTAGGGATCTAACCTGAAATAGCTGGGTCTGTTGATGAGTTCCCCTTCCACCTCAACATTGAGTTTCAAATGTCTCTTCTAATTTTTTAGCCTTCAGCAGACATGACAATACCTTATCTAGTGAGCTTAGAGAATAAGGTGTTCTACTTAATTTACTTGAGGCTGATAATGAATTTGAAAATATAACAAGATATATTGAAAAATTTTCTTAATACTTGAAAATTATAAAGAATATCAAGTATTTAACTCTTAATGATTCAGGGTCAACATTATGAAGAGACATTTATGATTTTGTTTCCAATTTAGATCTTTATATGTTCTTTTAATACCAGTAGGCTCTTCTGTTTGATATTGTGTTTTTCCCTAAAAATACCTCACCTCAGGCTCCCTTCTAGTTTATAGGCTTTAATCTGCTTTTGGTAGGGAGATCGTTTTAATAATTATATTTTTAATATCAGTCAGTATGACTTTTTAAAAGAGTCTAAAAAGTGAAAACCTTTTTGAGGCTTAACTTCTAAAGAACCCATATTAAGATTGTCGCTGTTGTTAAGTTCTTAACTTGAATTTTAAGTTATGGTTAAAAGTTCTTAATCAGCCTGTCATGGTTAAGATGACACGTAGAATACTGAATCATAATTTTTTTAATAAAAGTTGAATGTGTCTTATACATTTAATATGTGTGAGTTAAGTTCTTAACTTGAATGGAAGATGTATTTTTAATTGTGTGCTTATAATTTTTATAGCAAATGAAGTTTTAACCTAAAAGATCTCCAGTGCTGTGTTAAAATATAAAATTATTGATGAACTTAAATGGTTCTAGGAAGGTTTTGGTTCTCTTGGGAATCTGACCTAATATGTAATAAGGAAATGAGAAAAATCATGCTTTGCAAGATCATATATTTGAGAATACACCTTATGACTTGCTTGTTCTCTGTACTGTTTTTAGTGACTTTGAAGGTAAATCCAGAGCACACTTAGAGGATAGAAGCAAGTAACTATTTCTCTAGAAGTGACATTGATGATCACTCATGCTCAAAGAGAATTGCATTTCATTGCTTCCTCTTTCAGTTCCTGTGAACATGACTTTGAGTGTCCCAATCAAAAAATGTAATTTATTTTCAAATCACCGGGAAAACATTGGTCTAGATGAGATTATAAACCTTTTCCCCACCTCTGTAAATAGAAAATTAAACAGTAAGGGGAAGAACTTTATGTGCTGTGAACTAAGGAGTTTAATATAACCTGTGTCTGAGGTCTAGAGAAAGAGAAATAATGACAGTTTACAACTGTGTGCCAAGCTGTTGTGCTTGAATGTGTTTTCGGTCTTTGACAGAGGTAGCAGTGAAAACTAGGCTATTTTTCTTTTTTAAAAAATGGTACAAGCTTTTAATTGGTTTTATGTAAAAAGAAAATAGGCAAGATATACTTTTAGTTGTAACAGTAGTTTTGTAGATACTCTGATAGGAAATATAATATTCCTAGGAAATGTATAAGACATAACCTAAAAAAAATTGTGATTTAGTATTTTACGAGTCATCCTAACTACTACAGGATGATTAAAACTGTTCCATAACTTAAATATGGTTTCAGCAAAGTGATTTACACACTAAATTTAATTTGTTTGTGCTCTTCTTCCAGGACATTCTGCTTTTTGGGCTGTCTCATTACTAATTGCTTTGTTAGTTCTATCTTACGTCTTCTACTCTTAAAGTTGACTTGCTCAGTCCTTGTTTCACTTTTCTTTTTATATTCCTCTGACAGTCTTATCCAGTGTCATGGTTTTAAATACCTATATGCTGATGGCTCCCATATTTGTATTTCCAACCCAGACTTTCCACATATCCTGTTAGGCCTATCCACTTGGATGTGCAGTGATCAGCTCCAACTAAACTTCCATATTTTTCCTTAAACATGTTTGATGTTTTCATCAAACATTCAGGTAAAAAAACGTTGGAGTCATCCCTGACTTACTTCTTTCACACTTGGCATTCTGTGCTCTGTCTTATCTTGAAAATATAACCAGAATCCAGTCAGTACTTATTGCCTCCACTGCTCACAGCCTGGTCCAAGCCATTCTTATCTCTTACCTCGATTTCTGTAATTAACCTCCTAACTGATCTCGCTGCCTCTGCACTCTCTACAGTCTTTCCAACACAACAACCGGATCATATCACTTACCTTCTCAGAATGCTACAGTGACTTTCTCTATGCAGAGTGAAAGCTGAAGTTCTTATGTCCTTAAGGCCATACAGAATCTGGACACTTCCACTCTCCCCATTCCCCCTTACCTCTAAGGTTAGCTACTATCTTCCCTCTGCTTATTTCCTCTGGCCCCATTGGCTTTCCTAGGGGCAGCTACATGTCAGACACTGCGTTAAACACTTAGGCTCCATCAATAAACAAAACAGACGAAAAGCTCTGCCCTGATAGAAGTTATGTAATAGTGTGTGTTTGAGGGCAAGGGGAAGAGATAATAAACACAATCAATGAGGAAATTATATACTGTTGACTTCTCCTGGCAAGAAGGTGACAAGTGCCATGGAGGAAACAGAGCTGTGTTTTACACTGGCTGCTGCCCCTCCTTAGATCAGTGTTTTTTCTGAAGATACATGCATGGCTTGTTGTCTCTGTCCAGTCTTTGCTTTTTAAATGTCACTTTCTTAAAAAGATCTGCCTATTTTATTTAAAACTGCACTCCCCTAACGTCTGATTCTTGTACTTTGCTCTGTTTTCTTTATAGCATTTGTCACCTTCTGTTGTACTGTATAATTTCCTGATTGTGTTTATTGTCTCTTCCCCATAAACCCCCAAACAACAGTATTACATAGCTTCTATGAGGGTAGGCTTTTTGTCTGTTTTGTTTATTGATGACTCTTTAAGAGTTCAGAGCAGTGTCTAGCAGGTAGCAGGTCCTCAATAAGGATTTGTTGAACACAGTAATTAAATCCTGGCTGGGTGTGATGACTCACATCTGTAATGCCAGCACTTTGGGAGGCCAAGGTGTGTGGATTGCTTGAGCCCAGCAGTTTGGGACCAGCCTGGGGAACGTGGCAAAACCCCATCTCTAAAAAAAAATATAAAAATAGCCCGGCATGGTGGCATGTGCCTGTGATCCTAGCTTTTTGGGAGGCTGAGGTGGGAGGATTGCTTGAGCCAGGAAGGTAGAGGTTGCAGTGAGCTGAGATCATGCGGACTGCACTCTAGCCTGGGTGACAGAGTGAGATTTCGTCTCAAAAAAAACAAAAAATCTCGCATTCCTTCCTTTGATGGATACCTCATTATTGGATACATGTGGTTTCCAGTTTGCTCCTTTAGTCTTTCAGGGATGGTCAGAGAGCGGAAGAAAGTGGCATGGTGCTTTTGGGAATGATGTTAGAGTGTGGTGGAGACCGTCTTACATACCCCACATAATTAGGACCATTCGTTAGTTAATTCAAAAAGTTGGTTAAAGCAAGAACTCAAAATATATGTGCACCTTAAATGTTTTCACTGAAAATATTTGATTTTACTTTTATTTACCTTTTT